TACAGACTTGAACTAACTTAATCAGTATCCAAACAAGTGTCTGTGGGGCTGAGACGTCATGAAGAACATGTTTTCCAAGAAACTTTGCCATATCTGCTCTGACGACAGATCAACGTGGAAAGAACCTGTGTCGTGAAAGCTTTAACACGCATCTTCTAAATGACAAAAGCCCGACTCTTGGATGGACAAACCTTTCCCTAAGCCTGTTCAATCTGTGTCGCTGTTGGTTTCCCCACATGATCAACACTAGGGTGAGTTGAGAAGACCACATCACCAAGGCCACCAAGGGACTCCCAGATTGCACTCAAAATCAACTAAGATGAATGGAGGTAACTTCCAGAGTGAGCGCGTCAGAATCGCGTCAGATCAGCTTCCCTTTCTACTTCGACACCAAAAAAAATGCCCCAAACCTCCGAGCCCAGGGCAATCTAGCCACCACCAAGGCGCCGCACCTTTCACGCCCATGACTTCCCTCAGCTGAATTTGAAGGCACAAAAAATTATGGCCACAGGATGCCACAAGTCTTCATGTTGGAGAGAACCACGAACCAGATGGCTCTGAAGAACATCCAGAGAAAAACACATCAACCATGGAGTCTCTATATAAATATATATAGGTATATGTATGAATTTATCATCATTTATCCTTGATCAAGCGTGGTGGCTTTGAGCTGCGCTTGATGGGTAAAACCTGGATGGTGGGTTTCCCGAATGAAGCGTTCAACGAGTCAAGACGATCAACCTGCAAAGACGATCAACCGCTGTTCGGCAACACTGCTGCTGTGCCTTCCTTTAGAACGGCTGTGGGTCCGCAAGGCTAACAGTTCATGCAAGATCCTCAATTCACTCCACATGAGGAAGTCCCAAGTCACTCCACATTCATACTAAGTAGAAGCTACCAGGTGGAGGCCATCGCTATTGGTTGTAGTCGTAGTGGGAAAGAAACTGAAGGAGTGAAGCAACAAACTAGAGGCTTCCACAGGCTACAAAGCTGCTAACCCTGCTACAACCACAAAGAAGGTGAAAAATGACACATCTTCCAATCTGCAGTATTTTTTGTTTGAACATGTTTGAACTCCCAGATTCTCAACGGTCAACGAAGTGGGAATATCGGGATATCTTCCAGCGACCTTCGCAGCCTCGTGCCTTCATTCTTGCCTCTTATCCACGAAAAGCCCACAAAACCTCCACCCGCTTGATGCCCACCGTGCGGAGGGTTTGGTGGCCCCAGGAAGCACGATTCCAAGGGGCTCCGCTTGGTCGTTGGTTTTGTTGGGATACGTCGTGGGAGCAGCTCGCTCACCAAAGGCGGCCGAGTTCGCCAGCATCTTCCCTGCGCGTCGACCGGTGCGTTCGGCCGCAGCTTCGACCGGTTCCGGGTGACGGTCTCGTGGTCTCGTGGACTGGAAGACGAGTCGAGAATGGGTCGGACAGCGAGCTCCTGGGGCAAAGGGGCAAAGGGGCGGTGTCTTGCTTTTCCTTTTTCCTCGAAACCTGGGGTTACAGTGTTGGTCATTCGTCGGGAGCACTCGTCTTAGCTCAAATAGACCAGACTCAAGGACATCTCCATCCTGTTGTACATGTTCGGTGTAGTTGCCTCTTATGTGTCTCTTGCTCGCAACCCCGGGCTTCCCGGTTGTGCTACCAGTGCCTCAGTGGTTCCAACATCTTGGGCCAACACATTTTTTTGGTTAGTGGAAAAACGCAAACAATGCAAGGCTGTATTTTGAGGTCACCAATATCCGAAGCTTTTTCGGCCAGCACGTTCCTACGATTCCTACCTTGACGTACGAAAACTCTGAGAGAGCAAATGTTGCATGGCTGTTTTGTCTGCTGTTCATCCTAAATGCGGACTCGCCTAGCGTGGGAAACTTCTGGTTCTTGGACTGGAGGAGAGATACATCATCCACAGTCTCACAAGCCTGCCAAGCTGCAATCTTTCATAGAACCCAACTACGCCATGCATCCTACTCTCTTTAATGAAACATTATATAGCGTGACTCTGCACTTCCAAAAACTTGACAATCCTACGCGTCTAGATCTGCAAATCTAGAAGAATTGTGTAGAAGGACCATAGACGGCAAAAAGCTATATAAAAAAAACAGGTGGAACCTCATACTTTCAGACACACCCATATCTACTTCGGGTGTTCCCATTTCCACCAACTATCTGATGTACAATGGTGTATATGGGCCTGTATTCAAACAGGGAGATCTCACAGTTTTACCCCGTGCCAGAAGAAAACTAGACCAACCCAGTGGGATTTCGGGTCAGAAGGGTCTCCCTACTTTAAACACATACCTGACATAGCCGTGTGAAGAAACCGTCCGAACTCTCCGAGTCTTCAAAGCCTCTTTGGCCCCAACGAGCGCTATTAGCACTGCGGCCCTGGGGTTCGGGAGGACAAGAAGTCAGCTGCATTGGCAGACCAGAAAAGGTGCAGGAGGTAGATTAATTACACTACATCTATAGATCTATATACTTATATTACATCTTTTTATCTGATCATTTACTACTAGGAGCAAGGACGCTACTAGGGGCTCCTGGCCTTACTACTAGTAGCAAGAAGCTACTAGGAACAAAAGGCATCGCTACTAGGAGCAAGGACGCTACTAGGGGCTCCTGGCATCGTTGCACATGTTCTGGCGACCGAGGATGCCAGGTTTTCCACTTGCCTCAAAAACTTCTCTCCCTCAGGGCAATGATCCTACAAGGTCCCTGGGCGGAGGAATTTCGTATGGTGAATCCTCTTGCCTGCAGCAAAAGCATGATGATTGCTGGTGACAGCTGCTGACAGTCATGAGAAATGGATCTGACCAGAGTGAAGAAAAGCACACATTTAGCTGGCTTCGCTGATGCTGCTTTTGTGTTCTCCGCCTCTTCAGTCAGGTCCCTGAATCTGCCTCATACCTACCCTGACTCTGTGTGGCTTGGGTTAAAGCTGATAGTTCTTGCCCCAGGCGCAGTAATTGCCAAGCCACGTTCAGCACCGAGGAAGCGAGGATGGATGGGGCGTGAATCGATTTGGATCCCGCCAGAGTTGCCCAATGGTAGAGGGAAGGAACCAGCTGCCAGACTCGTCATGTTCTCGACCCCAGCCCACCCAGTGACCGAACTGAGGCCCACGCAAACGAAGGTCGTTCTTCATTGTCAGCGATAAAACCTACACAAGCGCCAGTTCTTCAGGTGGACCATGCGCCCAACAACTGCCATGCGCCCATTTGCGCAGCAAACTCTAACCATGGAGGCACTTAGATAAGTTGGAACACCTGTGCAAGGTAAGAAACTTCCACTTGGCCAACGCCAATCAGTGCTCTGCCATTAATGAATTGTTGATCCTCCAAGCCTGTTGGAGTCAGGATGCTGATGTTGGTCAACTATTGGGCCAACCCCAAACCATAGAGTCTAGAGTCTCTTCTTATGCTGCAACGCCCTGGCAAAGACCCTTCTGAAAAACAGTCCACCGCACTCGTGAGTGGGCTTGTGAGGATCACATGTCTAGAAGATCATTGGGGATCTAAACCTAGAAATGTGATCCATCTAGAAGCACATTCTGCCTTCCTTTAAGGATTCGTGTTGGATCCTTGTAAGGAATCCTCAAAGGAAGGCAGCACGTGCTTCTAGATGGGGGGGCGCGGCGCGGCAAGCCGCGCCCGGCTCCACCTGGCCGGCGACTTTGCGTCTCCTGGGCGGTGCAAAGCATGATGAATTGGAATGCGGGTGGAGAGAAGGATTCACCGATGACTGATCACTGATCTGGAGTTGCTTGGAGTTGCTGGAGTCAACAATTGACAATGCAGAACCTAAGGCAAGACCAGTCAAAGTGTATGGTCTTTATTGTGATATAAATCCTGTAAGTATCCAATCTTCATGGGATATTCAGCAGCTGTCCCCATGTCAAATGCAAAACCATGCAAAACATCCTCTGGAATCACTCATTCAGAGGTTGGAAACACTTCTGATATTCATGAAGGCTAGGCACCTCTGCCTGAACCCAGACCTTCCCCGACAACTGACATCCAAGTTGAGGAATACTGAAGACACTCACACGTCTGCTGCCTTTTCAGCATTCTTGGAAACATTGACACCACCAACTTAGTCACAACCATACCCAGCGAACGCGAACACGGACGCGCGTGCTTCTTTCATCCCAGCAGCGGTCAGCTCAGAAGCGTGGAGAGTTTCAGGATCAAAGGTGCTCGAACCCGAGCTGCTGAAGAACCGTTTGCCGCTTCGCAAGATCAACGGCGGATGTATTATTAATGAGGTGCCGTATACACTGTATAATTACCTAAGAAAGACTCTAGCCACTGGATGAAAAAATGATCAAGCAAAGGTTCAATCATGCAATATCCAACATATATAAAATATTCCAGCCCACCCCACCCCCAGATACAATCACCGGTCCACAAATCTCCAAAATGCCCCGTCCCAACACCCACCCACCTTCCCCACCTTACCCTTTGCCCCGTTCTGTTCGTTTTGGACGACCGGTATTGGGAGTGGTGGTTCCACCGTTGTGTCACCGCCCTGCAATCCACAGCCGTTGTCGTTGGCGCCTGCGTGCGATTCTAAATACTCCAAGATATACTATATACCAACGGAGTTGTTTCAGGGAGTCTGGAAGTTTTCTTAATTGATCCTCAATCTGAGGTCCCCAAATCACATCATAGAAACACATCGCACGGATGGTACAGCAACCTTTCTATCTCTCCAAGCAACCTCTATTCGATTTGCTTCACCATGCAAACACCAAGCCCATGATCTCAGCCCATGATCTTGCTGATCACATAGTCTGCTCTTCAAACACCTATGGATCAAAGCACCTTCCAACCTTCCTGGACCATCCTGTCTGGAGATCCCTAAGTAGGGTAGGATAGTCCTGCCAGGACACCCAGACAGGATGGTCCTGGTTGGTTCATGAACAACACCAAGACCTGCCTGTCACCGATGTCACCGCGGGCCGTGTCGGTCGCTCGGGCGCGGCTCGGGCGACCGGGCCACTAAGGGCCTCCACAAGCCTACGAGATCTGGACCAGCCCAGGTGGGGAAGTAGAACCTCCACTGAGATGACAGCGAGTTTCCACTGTCAGACATGGATGGGGTTTGAATGGATTTGATCTATTCAAAGTCAAAGAAGCGACAAAAAGGGCAAACAAACGACTATGGAAGGGAAGTTGCGAAGACTGTCCGACTTGGAGGTCGAACCGTCTCCCTGCATTGAAACCCGTTGGCAATAGTTCATGCCGTCACTCTTTCTAACTCCATACTGGGCAAAAACGCGCTGTTGGGGCTGTTCGGAGAATGCTCATGGGTCATAAGGGTCATACATCAAAAACTCTGCTCAGCTCCCCAAAAAGACAAGTCGTTTCTCCAGTCAGCCCGATGGGCCCGCAGCATCAGTGAAGCATGTGAACCATGTGCCCGCCATCCCAGTCAGTCCGAGCTTTGGGGTGACTGGACTCGAGCTTTCAGTGGCACCCACTGTGGCACCCATGTCCCCTTCTCTTAGCTTTGTCAATGGGTTGAGCATTGGGTGGGTTGCTTTAAGGAACCTCCTCCCTATGGCACCCTCCGTGTCCCGTTCTCTTGGCTTGAGGAACCAATGCTTCATCTCCTCTGCTGAGGGCAGCAATGCCTTGGAAACCGTCGCACCGACTTCCGTCTCAAGGACCTTGAGTGACCTGAACGAGGACCCATCACCTAGGGCGACTGGGGTACCTATGGGAAAGTCTACTTATATTATATAGTCTATATATATATATTTATATGGTCCTTCAACCTCTGTTGGGAGATCTTGAACAATCTTCAAATGTTCTCTTTCAGCCCTTGCATTTGGCTAGTTTCGACCAACTGGTTCAGTGGCTGCGACATGGTTTGCAGCCAAACACCCTGAAGATCATTGAGACGCCACTTGATTTACCGTTTTCAGCTTTCAACATGTAGAATCGACACCACTGCCGGCGCAGTTGGAACTCACGTGTTTTGGTTGATTGTAACGAGGGATTCTGATCCTCTTGGGATCCCATTCTGTCCAATATAGTGAAAGCAATCTGGATATGCCGGGTCCGGCACTTGTTGTACCCCCACAGGTACAAAGTAACTAAGCAGGTCTGGGAACATCTAACATAAACGACATCCATGGGTTTGGAGGTCCCCCTGGCGAAATGCGGTCCCCCAACTGAGGACCCCTGGCATGGAGTTCGGAGCCTCGTGGGAGAACCTAGGCAAGTTTTCAGGTGATGGTTGGATGGTGTGAAGGTTGCTCAAGTTCCTAAAGAAATTTAGACAGGCACCACGATGCACCACGGTTTTTTCAGCCGGCGAATATCCACCAGTTGCTTCGGATGTCTGACAAGATAATGACATCACCAAAGCTTGCATCAAGTGGGACATAAACCACCACTAGTTTGTGCGTCGTCCTAGGGATCCACATCCATGTATAAGGACCAGGGATATGATGTTCAGGTTTTGGAGCGTTCCACCTACCTGGAGGATCCTGGTCTTGCCTCTGATTGGGAACATCGCGTCTCTGGGCGCTGGACACACTCCACTGCCACGACCAGGTCATCGATCTTGTCACATTCTTCGCACCTGCCCGAGCAAACGCAGGTCGAGCGGCACCCATCGGAGGAGCGGCAGAACGTCGATGCGATGAGGCTCTGTCTCGCCAAAGTACTTGGGATGCCGAAGTACCTCCCGGCCACCTTGGTCCAGCCGCATTTTTCTCATTTCCAAAGAAGCGTGCCACGACATCGCTATTGGGTCAGAGGCCATCGCTACTAGGTTGGAGGCCATTTCGATCGCGGGAGGCCATCGCTATTAGGTTGGAGGCCATGACCGCAGTGAGCACAAATCATCTGTCGCGCCTTGGCATGCTCGGCGATCCCACGTGAACGAAGGAGTCGCTGAGGTGGAGCTGTAAAAAACTCTGCAGCGCCTGTCAAACAGCGAAGCGGCAGTTGGCCAGGCCGCAGAAATCGCGTGATGACAGGTGTGGTGAGTGGATATGATCTAAATCATTCTAAATATTATGTGTTTCTGGGGTTCGATGCTTAAATGTGTGAATGTCGGACCGTTCAAAATGTATGTTCACAGTTTCAGCAAGCCTCTTCGCTTGCATAGGTTCAGTGGATTGAAACATGTTGCTTAAAGTTCAACAAACGAGTTCCACGGTGGTCCATCAGTCCCTAATGCCTACAAACCATGAGTCATAGTCTACCAAGTCTTTGCATGAATTATTCCATTTTATAGGACATTGATTTCCTGCATGTATATAGATATATGTAGAAATTATCGTGTCATTTTTTCTTTGAATGGACGGAAAGGAACTCTGTGCGATGTTTTTGTTCGTGATCTCTCACAAGCGACCACATGTGGCTTCAGCAAACGCCTACTGCTCAGTGCCTGGTTGGAGGTAATGGGATAATCATTATCGTTCAGGTTGATGAAGTACTCCCAGCCGTCCTATCAGACTGGCGCTGCGAAAAGCTTGTGGGCAAACGCCACGCCTACATACGCCTACATACGCTTACTATAGATAACAAATCTAAGAGAACTCTACAAGTTACACGTTTGGGAGTTCTGAGGCAAAGCAGCAAAGTAGCCGAAGCAAACGGCTTTTTCTGCAATGCATTGGCCACTGGCGACACGACTTGGCGACGTTCACATCTCCTGGGCGATCAAAAGCTCCAAAGCACGAAGCATGACCAGCAAAAAGGATGCCCCACCTGGCGCGCGCGGTCAAGCGCTCGACGCGACGGTCAGACCGACCCGACCGACGAATGTCTCTGAATAATGGACTCAACATGAGAGAACCAAACAAAGCCAACGTTCCTGACTTCAAAGGTATGCTGCTTCCCTTTGTTGGGGCTCGACCATCTTGAATCCAGGTGATCCCAACAAGAAACTGATCGACCATCACTGTCAAATCTCAGCATCAAAAGGTCTAGCTAGAATCAATGCGACTTCCAGGATATCATCATCTGCAGGAGTTTCCTCTTCCTCTTCAGGTGCGACTCTACAGCTGTGCGGATGCAGGTCTTTCTCCGTCAATCCCCCAGAATCGTTCAGCGGATCAGCGGACGATCAGCGGATGCCAAGAAGGCCCAAATATGTTCCTAGTGTGAAAAGCAAAGACAATTGCAAACAAATACACAAATGCAAACAAGTCACACTATAATGATACCTGGTTTTCACATGTTTCCAAGAGTTCTACAAAAGGCTTCACTCTCTTCCATTGATCTCACCAGATCTCACCAGATCTCACCTCCTCACCGCGTGACCCGGACCCTTCTCCGAGCTCACCGGGAGGCGTTGACCGCCCGCTAGCCTCGGCGCAGATCGAAGCGTTCCGCCATGACCTCGTAGCGGGGCTCCACCTGCCGCCGCTGAACGTGCAGCGCAGAGGTTCCCTCCTTCGGTGGGTCGCTGGGTCCACCCCGAGCTCTTTTTTTTTCGGCCCCGTTGGATGGGAGGAAACATGGACGCCGGGAACAGGTAAGGTCACGGGTCTGGAAAGCGAGCCAGTAGGAGAACTGAAAGGGTGATCCGAATCATCATGTTTGGACTCGGACTCCAGTGACTCCAGACAGCTTTTCCTCAAATCTTTCATGGGGATAGTACCTGCCAGGCGCTCACCTCTGTGAGCAACTGCTGCAGCTCCTTCTCCTTTCTCCAAGAAGCCTGGAGTTTCATGCAACGCATCATCCACAAAGCTTTTGTGAAGCCAACATCGAGGCTTCAGATTCAGTACGGGATTCCTTTTGAGAACGACTTGCCCGCCATTGGTGCCGTTGGCAAACCCCAAAGTGGCCAATTGATAGGAATGGATTGAGCACTTGGCCTGAACGCCTGGTCCCCGCTTTCAGTAGCAAGGGGTCAGTGACTTCAAGCAAAAGCAACTGAAATGTAATTGCGGATCTACTTGATATTCGATTGCACACAACCTTGCCTGTGAATTGCGTTATCTTGTCCTAGCTCGCTGAACTTAGTAACTTAGGGGCACACCAACTAGGCTTACCACATATCCATGTGGCCGACAATCGCTGCCTTCTTGTCAAGGTGTATCAAAAAGAAATGCCAAGGTTCTTTCAACCTGGCCAAGTGAGAGCCAATGGGCCTATGCACAGCCAAAAGAAATTCGAAGTTGATCAACGTTCGTTGAAACTGTTGCTGTTTAAAGAAATGCAACCTTGCTTGTATTGCTGCTTAGATAAGCTGCCTCCTCTCATGATTCATAGCAAGTCATGACAAGTGACTTCGTGAGCTTGCTCATTCTCCCGTGCAGCTTGCTTGCCTTGCTTGTGACATGACTCCAAGCATCCTGGAACTGAGGTGTGAAGCCCCCGAACACTTCAAGGCGTGAACTCCTTCAATCCATCCTTCAAGGAATTCATGAATACCCCCTGGGATTTACAGCTCCCTCGTAAGAACAATCTACTTAGCTACGTGAACCACCCTTTCATGCCATCGGCACGATCGACGTCTGGGGGAGTGGACACTTCGAGCACAGGACTTGGCCCAAGCCCCAAACCCTGCAATACGTATTTCTCTGAGAAAACACACGACCCGTCTAGTTCTTATCTAAGCAATCCAAACATCTGCCAGTGTCGTTGACTTGTCGTTTGTTTTGGATACAAACATCCCACTCGTTCACTGGTCGACGGAACTGTCGCCCTGCACAGCGCCGGGCACGCGGGACACGGGGAAAGAACGCGGTTCGGCACCTGCGCAGGAGCTGCTTGAGGTTCGGCAAAGCCTTGTAGGCCAAGAGCAAGAAGGCCTTGGTACTCTCTTCGGCCCGGTGAATTGATTGGTCCTGGACTCAGTCCTGGACTTGAGGAAGTGGTCGATTGGAGCCCAATGGAAGCAGTGTTCTTCCATGAAGGCCGTCTGAGCACCCGTTTTGCCACATCGAAACACTGAGGCTAGTGCCACACGCACAGGCTTCTCATCCTGAAAGATCGCCTGGGTGGAGATCTCCTGGGTCGACTCGTCGACCGAGGCCGAAGCGATGTGGATGACGACTGTAGCAGATACGGTTGCAGTCGGCTCGCCGACCGCGGGAGTTTCTAAACAGACCGTGTAAACTATAAGTGAGTGGGGTATGAATATTCTGGGAAAGGAGAACATCAGGAAATTAGAGTCATACAATCTGAGACCGTGACATGAAGGATGTATCTGGCCGGGAAGCACCATTACCATTAGGATACAGCTCGATCTAGCTGGCCCTGGAAACTGCCAGGTGCTACGGTTGGTGTAGTGGAAGCGTCCCAAGTTACTGATAGAAAAGGATAGAAAAGGAGCTTTTGATGACTCCAGGCCGGTGGTGCCGCCAGGCTTTTGCCTGTAAGTAGAAACACTTCAATACTCTGTATAAAATCCTGAGAACGCCTGCACTCGGTCAAACAAAGTCAAACATCTTTGAGTCTCAGTTCAAATTGTTGAACTTCCCTCAAAGTTTTTCCACCGATTCAACTAGATAGGTGAATCATGGCAAAACCCACCCACCAACCCACCCACCACACACCACGCTGCACCACCCAATCCTGTACGGCGCTGGGTGGCGCCACATGACGGGCGACGGTTTCGGCGCCGGCTTCGGTTTCGGCGCGACCACGTCGCGTTTGCCCGTGGCGGACCAAGTCCAAGCGCCTCGGGCGGTGGTGAAGATGGTTGAGATGTTGAGTCCATGGGGGGCTGAGGGCGAAGATGGTTGGATGGTTGAAAGATGTTGACTCTCTGTGACACGCTGTGGAAGACAAGGTGATGATGCGACTGTTCGGCCCTCTTTAGTGTGATGTTGTGAGAAGATTTCAATGGTGATTCATGGAGCTCAGCGCAAGTAGATTTCATTCATGATTCTTTCATGATCTCTGTGATTTAGTGGTGATTCATGGTGTCATGTAGATTTCAGGAACTCTTTCTCAGCGGCCATGGTGTGTCGGCTTGGATGACTTTCCAGCGAAGAAGTTCATCAAAACACATCTGGGTTCCATCATCCACAACATCTGGCCAGCTACCAGCTACCGCGTCTGTTTTCAAGGGCCCCACTGGCAAAGCTGCTGAGAGATCTGGGCAGAACCTGGACTGAATGTTGATGTGCCAGAACACAAATGGCTTTAGACATGCGTTAAACATAAAAACACGCCAAAGCGCTTCTGTCATCTTGCATGACAATATGCACTGGTGGGTGTCTCAGCTCCAGTTCTTCTATGGGATCGTCTGACAACTTGGGATCTCAATTTCCGCACGTATCTTCATGCGACCATGCTCTTCAGTTGAACAGTTCTTTTGCAAAAAAACTCATCCAAACAAAGAAGTAGTCTTTGAACCGCATCAATGCTGCGGGCTTCTAGTTTGGATCTCACTTTGGTAGCTCGCGCATTGAGACCAGTCTAATCACCCAATTGACGTATACTGTGATTCCCGACAGTCCGGTGTGGCAAACACCAGTTCTCGCACAGCTGTGATGTTGATCTTGGCCGATGTGAAGTCTCCGATTCTGGGTAAGGAACTTGCAACGCGACCCAGCAAAGTCTCCAAGTCTACTGAGTCTACTGAATATACTTCCCCAGGTTTCCCCAGCAACGCGACTGCTCTCTACGAAAGGCTGACCTAGGGGCACTTGCAGTTGAGGGAAACACTGATGGTGGCACTGAAGGTGATACTTAATGGCTGACACCATATACCCATATACCTATCAGCACTATATATTAATATAGGGCACAGTATGGCACATTAACTGGCACAGTACATGCTTATACATGCTTCATGTTTTCCTTAGCGTCTACTACTACTTTGAGTTCTATTTGGTGTATCCCATTCCAAATCACCAATAAGTGTGAAGCATTGTGCAAACAACATCTCTGTAAGTTGGACTGGCCTACAAAATCTCAACAACTGACTTGGACAGCAGGCACAACTAACGAATCTTCCGTGAGACACTGGTTTGCGTCCGCACCAACTGATCCAGTCCGGCCAGTGGGTTAGATGGTGATCTGGGATAGCGCACTAGCACCATCAGTGAGCCCGTGTTCAACATTGAAACACTAGTTACAGTAAAAGTAGTACGTTACAGTGAAACACTTAACTCAACTCCACACTCGGTGGGGGCTTCAAATAGATGAACCAGCCGGCGAGTTGTTGGATCACAAAGAAGGAATCTCTCGTACGCCAAGCCACATCTATGCTCCCTTGAAACGAAGGTATATAACTGCTATGTAGGCAATGTACTGTACAATCTTTTTCATTGGTTGAGGCTCTTGGGCCATTGACTCTTCCGCTGAGTCTCCAGCACCATGTGAGTGTTCCTGAGGCGATGTGAGCGCTGTGCTCGCTGCTCGTGCTCGTGCTGTGCTGCATCGAATGCCCGGAGTAGCAAAAGGTACAATGCAGGAGATGTCACTGGCCATGTGTAAGTGATATTGTCTGTGCAGCAAGAAGGGTTACCACACAGCCCATTCTTGGAGATCGTCTTTACCAAAAGCTACAAGTATGTGTTCTGCAGGTAATTGTTGGTTGGCACACTTCTGGAAGCACAACTGTCGGCCGTGGCATCAGGCAACCATTTGTCCTCAGGAGATAACGTCGCAAACTTAGAGTAGGGCTCCTTTTTAGACAGGAACCTTTGTGTACATGTTTGAACATTTGTGAACGGCCAACACCTCCTGAGCTTCCCAGGGTTGAGACTTTTGGTGACCCAACATGGAAGGAATGACGCTGTTCGTCCGGGTGTCTCGAGTGAACGAGACACACGGGTTCCACCCGCTCCTCCAAGTAGAGCTTCGCCTGCGGCGTTGTGACCCACGGCCGGTCATGAGGTGTGACCGGTCATGAGGTTTGGAGCTCCGGGCGTCTTGGTGGGTTTTTGATGGTTTTTGATTCTTGGGATTTGGATGGTTTCGTTTCTTTTGGCTTCCCTGGCTTCCAGTACCCGGCGCTTCAGCGACAGATCTGGTGGCGACTAGGATAGTTGGTTTGCTTCAAGCCTGCTCACCTTGCACCTCGGGGAAGAGACAAAGCTCCTACGTCATCGCAAGCAAAGAAGCAAACACTTTTTTCTTCCGGTCGGCTTTTAGGTGGGAACCTGGCTGACACACCATGAAGCAGGCAGTTTTTTGTTTGGTTGTTCTTCAGCAGGGTTGAGACCGTTGGGATTGCAAGGAGAGATGATGTCGGGACCTCGTGTGCCATCTTCCACAACCCCTTAATAAGGCTGAAGACAGCAACAGGTTTATGATCACACAAATGAAATGGTTCTGGTGATTAAGGATAAGTCAGTGTAAGAGTCTTTATGGGTTCTTTAGGTAGTCTCACCTTTTCAAACCCCTTTTCTCGACGAGTTGTGGGACCAATTTCGGCAGCTGAAGGAAGTCGTCATTCTTCAAACTATATAACCTAGTGCAGAGTCCTTTCAATCCAGTCTCCGGTTGCTTCATAGGGGATTAGACCATGAAACTCTGAGAGTCTCCTAGTAGCAAGAATGCTCCTAGTAGGGATGCCAGGAGCCCCTAGTAGCGTCCTTGCTCCTAGTACGTAGTAAGGCCAGGAGCCCCTAGTAGCTTCTTGTTACTAGTAGCTTGACCATGCAACTCTGAGAGTCTCTTCAGCAAAGTTCAAAACCAAATGGGCAGCGGTTGGCTCCGTAGCAGCGGTGCTGAAATATCTGAGCTTCGTCATAGATGAAAGGGCCATGCATGGCCATGCAATATAGAACCGGTCCACAGAATCTGGTATAGTTCCAACCTGTTCCAACATGAGAACCTCTCACACCACGTTTGCGTTTGTGGCTAAAGCAAGTAGTGGACCTTCATTTCCAGTTCCACCGATGGACTCCATGCCGAACGGGCCTCAAAGGTTGCCAGGATGGGGCGCCCAAGTGCCCAAAAGAGCCATGCCATGCCATCTTGGCCATCTTGGCCATGGCCGGGTCTCAACGTGATCTACGTCTTCCCTGCTACCAGCAGGTTTCGGTGGGTATTTACCAGCAACCTCCATTGGGAAAAGCCACATCGACAGCTGAAAGTGAAGCAAACTCAGCAAACTCCCTGAGATCAGTCGACAAACATTCACCCAACAGCCAAACCAAACTGGCCCATGATTGGTCAATTAGGCTAAGCTTGTCAAGGAAAACATACACAACCGAGAGCTAGGGTTTTACAAAACGCGCATCTGGCACATGCCCAGCTGAGCCGGTATCTGCGAGAAGTAACAGCTTTCTGCTCTTCGAGTGTGCTGAGTGCAGCGGCTGTGATTTCGACAAATGGCAACCTTATCAAGCCTGTTCAGCGGGAATATATATATATCTATACACCAGCCAGGAGATTGCGAATCCTTTTAGCAAAATCACCAGCTCAAACACAAGGAAGGCAAGCTTGCATGGGAAATAGCCCGATAATGATCGATCATGCCTTCGACAATTCAATGTATCTAAACTAACAAATATTCCTGGCAACCAAGTGGTCTCAGGTCAATGAGCTAATTAAAGTGGTAACCACCCCATCTTCAAGGAGTCCATCGAGAATCTTAGACAAGCCATCTTTTTGATCCCAAAATGATCAAGAACCACTGGAAGAGCCCCTGCCGTGTTTCTTCACATTGGCATGTGTTTCTTGAGACCGGTGACATGACCTGAAACCATGCCCAGCGCCAATCGCCCTCGGGAGCCGCCCTCAGGACCCTCATATGTACAGCCACGCCCCGGACGTCCTTGGCGATCCGGTCGAGATCTCAGGTTGAGATCTCGGGTCGGTCGAGACAGGTTGGACAGGAGATTTGGTTGACATCGGTGTACACTCTGACTCTAACAGATCTATACAGTATGTCTCTTGGATTTGGGCAATGGTCTGAGTGTGCTGTGGCCTTTTAGGATGGTCTGAGATGGTCTGAGTCTTGGGGAATGGTCTGAGATGATCAGGTCCAACATAGTCAACATAGTCTCATCCAGTTTTCCGCTGCCGAGCCTAGTCCAAGCTTGACTGTCAATGGTTGACTAGTCAGACTAGTCTTCATCGACTTCACCGGCAGTCTGCAGCGACGGTGGCGGAAATCCGTGTAACACTTCGGACCCTCCATTTTTGTTGAAACTCCTGCAGCCATTGGTTCGGACCCTCCAAACAAATACAGTAAACCGTTATTTGGCGTGCCTCAAATGATGGTTCATGGCACATCTCTTAGAACCTGATTCAGCGCCCGTAGGCCTCCCATGCGCTTGCTCGTGCTCACGAGGATCCAACATGCTCGTGCTCCCCACTCTAAAAGCGTTCCTGTCAACAAAAGCTCTGGGAGCTGGTAGCTTTCGCATGGTTCAGGTGATTGAAGTTCTTATATGAATTGCTTAAAGGCAGGCTCGGCGATGCAAAACAGAAAAGCTCAGGCCTTTCGTGAACTCTGAATGTATGTTTCTTGCTACGCGTACTTTTGACTGGGATTGATTGACTTGGGATGAAGCAAAAGGCACCCGGTCCTCCGGCAAAGCACCCTCCTTCTTCAACTGTTCCAGGGCCTTCAACTGCTCGGGCGTCACCTGGCATCGGCCGATCGGCGAGGGAAAAAAATGCGACCTTGACCGGTTGACCCGGTTACACGCCGCTTGGGGAGTACAAATATATATATATATATACCAAGAGAAGTTAAGTGACCTTATAGGACCCTACTGGGGTACCGAACCGGGATGGTCTATAGGGTCCTTAAACCTTTGTTGGTATATAACATGTTATGCTATATATATATATACACGGGTTTGACCCAGTTAGTCGTATATACATCAATATATACCCATGCAATACCCATGCATATTCCTCTAAGCCCCCACTCGTGCAAATGTCCCTGACCTTTAGAGACAAACACAACCTGTGCCCCGCCAAGCTCTTCTCACAAAGGGCGGCAGATTATCGGGAGATCTGTGTTAACCATTTACTTAATTGATCTTTGTTAACCATTTACTTAATTTACTTCCATCAAGTGATAGGCTTCCAGCATTTCCCACTGTCAACATTCTCTGAGCTTCTCCACTTCATGGGGAAAACAAATGGTTATATAATGTATATAGGATTGAGAGAGAAACAATAAATTGCTTTGTGCGAACGGGTTTCTGCCTGCCTGCCTGGCTGCGCAGGCTGCGCACTATGCTGATTCTTTGGTGAGTGACAGTGAACGTGTGATTTTCTGCATGCGACATGCGGGTTCATCATGGCACCTTGCCTTCTTGTCACAGCAGCAACCAACATACAACATGCCCAATCCTAACATTCTACATCCTTGACCATGTTTTTCCCAGTTGTGCCCTGGGCCTCTGCTGTGCGAGCCTTTTCCAACTCCTGCTCACTGTCAGACAACCTGCAAGCGATTTGTGGTCAGTCGAGCAGGGAAACATATTTTGCAGTATTGATACAAACGGGTGGAACCATCTCAATTCTCAAGCCAGGGGATCCATCAAAACATATCATAAACTCATCAACATCCCCACATGCCGAACTGAGGGGCCAAAGCCAAGAATTGCTTGTTTTCATTTGTATTCAGTTCCACTAACCCCAAGTGGGCGATCTATCGCCCACATTCTCGACCTCCTCAGTGGATGCTTCTTACGCTTCGGTCTTTGGGTGGTGGCAACGTCGGTCCGGACGCGACGCCATCGATGGGGTGATGCCCGGGTGCCCGGCAGGAAGGAGTCTGCCACCTCGGTGATGGCCTGGCCGATGGTCGGTGTGGGTTCTGTGGAGTCGGACTCTGCTGGAGCAGATTTAAGATCCTTTAACCGATTGGGGCGAGGATTTGGTGTATATGGTTGCCGGTCTCAGTATATACAATATATGTAACATATACGTATATTTATAAATCCATTTTGATGTGGTTGACAGAGATCCAGCCAATGCAGCAAGGATAGCGGTGGCAGCCTATGAGTACATCAGAGAGCTGCTGGAACAAGATAATCTCAAGATCTCCGAGAAGAAGACTGGCTTTGTGGTCTCCAACACAGCGGCCAAGAGGCTCCTGCAGGAGAAGCTGCCTGCCAAAGGCCCACAGGTCCATGATGTCATGAGGGACCTTGGTGTTGACTGCACGGCAGGAAGGCTGCGGCACATCATGACCATGAGAAATCGCAGAGGCAAAGCTGCAAGGAAAACGAAGAAGCTGACCAATTTGAAGATTCCTCAACGAGGCATCCGCCTGAAGCTCTACAAGGGGAGCATCTTGGCCGGAGTGAGCTGGGGGGCACGAAGCCATGGGCCTGGCTCCCCAAGTTGGACGCAAGATCAGGGCGGTCATGGGCCGACAGTTGGGCATGCAAAGACCGGCAACTTGGACATTGTCTATGACATGAACCCAAGGCACCAGGACCCTGACTACGGCTCCTTCATGTCCCAGGTGAAGGCCTGGAAACGATTCTATGACAACTGGCCGGAGGTTTTACACTGCTCCCTGGAGAAAGCCTGGCAGGCCATCTTTGAGCACCTCGAGCAAGCCAAGCACCCTTGGCAAGTCGCCAAGGGGCCTGTAGCGGCCCTGCAGTGCCACCTGAAGGAGCATCACTGGGACTGCAGAAACTATGGAGAATGGACCAAACCTGGGCACAATGGCAGTCGGGACTTCAGGCTCAGTATGAATGATGATTGGTTCACTCTCCGAGAAGAACTCAAGCGAACTGAACGCTGGGAGGGAGCGTATCAACAAGCGTGCTCAGTGAGGTCCAGTTCACCATGGATTGGAAGCCATGGCAATAGATGACGAAAACACGCAATGCTCGCGAAAGTGTGGCGCTCCTCACCTGGCACCAAGGGGCACTTTTCACCAAGATGGCTGACAATGAAGAGAACAGACATCTTCAATGCCCACATTGTGGACGACCAACCACCATCCTGCACCTGCTATGGATGTGTAAGGCCACCAAGGAAGGAATTCCCAGCCCTGGACCCTGAAGATCGCTTTGAGATCGACCAGGGTCTGAACCTCGAGTTCTGGACACCAGGCATCCTCCAGCTTCCCAAGTATGAGATCCCTACTGGAGGAGCTGCTGTCCAAGCCTGGAGCAGCTGGACCGTCCATGATGAACTCAAGGTCAGCAGCACTGCGGTCTTCACCATCGGAATTGCGGCCACGAGCAAAGACAGCCGGCTCAGACATTATGTTGTGGGGCAAGAGCTCTACCGCATGGGCACCGTTGCCACGGTGCTCCCAGGGAAACAAACCTTGGAGCGGGCGTGGTTCTATGGGTTGAAGATGGCAGCGCACTATGTGGACTTGAGCACTCAGGTCAAGATCCATGTGATGTCAACCAAGGCCTGGGAAGCCTGGATCCATGTGAAACATGGTAATCTTTTCCATGATTTAGAGCAGCTGGTCACCATCGACCAACGCAGGCAGATCCAGGCTCTTAGCATCAGCATGCAGCAGGTTCGGCACATTCCCATGACTATGACCCTCAAAAAAACGCTTTCATGATGCCACCAAGGCGGCCACTGAGTCGCTTCAACCTCACGAAGAAGAAGCAACCTTGAAGCAGCAAGATGCCAAATACCGGCGAGTTGCCGCTCTGGCTATCCAGCGCATCCGGTACCTCCTGGACAACAAGGAGCATTTCATGCACCAGGAGAGGCTCTGAGAAACCAAACCCAGGAGCAGAAGGAAAAGGTCTATGCTGAGCTCTCTCAGGCTACTTACCCAGCACCACACAAGTGGACCTCCAAGGGCAGGGCTCAGCAGTGCACTCTATGTCTCAAGAGGGTCACACTTCAAGCTCCCAGAACTCACAGAGGCTTCACAAGAACGATGCCCAGGCAACCCGGGCAGCTGGAGGTAGTCAGGCATCCAGCACGGACAGCAAGCAGGACACCATTGCCAAGATCTTAGAGGACACTCATCCGGGCATGGGAAACCACTCTTTCATGATCCACAACTTGTACATGGTCTGTCAGGGCTGTGGCTGCCGCTTACTTAAGAATGCGGCCAAGGAGAAATTGGTTGCCCTTGCCGAAACACAGTGTTGGAACGAGGCCTGGGCGCCACCTTCAGGGTGGCAGGGACATGCCACACATCAGATGTGGCGCAGAGCAAAGCTTGTGAGTTGCATCGGCTGCAAAGCCCGGGCAGTTGCGACTGAGAAGGGATGGATGGCCAGCAAGACGCTCAAGACGCGATGTGGGGGGAGCCGCTGAAGCCCTCACTCTGCCGGCTTGCTTCAAGGCCAAGACGGCCTAATGCAGCACCAGAAAAGGAGCGAAGAAAAAACAAATAAATCCATCTCTTCCACCAAAGTTTTGGAAAAGGGTTGCCGCTGAGGCAAGAGGAACACCGCATGTGTGGCCTTTGTCGATCACCGATTTCATCGGTCGAAATCAGTCGAGAGTCGATAACTCGACCTGACCCTTGGACCCCCCTTGGGGTCATCTTACCACATCTTGCTGGTCGACCGAATACACATTCAAACAGCCCAGTCAAGGGGTCCAGTCAAGGGCGTTTCGGACGCTACTAGTGGCTATTTGCTACTATACTTATATAATCTTATATAGTAATGTCAGGAGCTACCAGTAGCTTCTTGTTACTAGTAGTAAGGTGCCTTGTTCCTAGTAGCTTCTTGTTACGTTCGTCTTCTCGGAGCGACAGCGTTTTCGCTTGGCCTCCTTCAGCTCTCCCCAGTTGTTTCTGGCATCGGAGGCTGGGCCAGAGATGTCCAAGAGCCAAATGTAGTAGGTCGGATCCTGTGCCAAATCGACAACTCGGAACGGTTAGGTCCTTTAGAAGGTCCAGCTGAGTGCTATGTGTTTGAACATCAAAACACTCGGGCATTCGTCATGGCACTTGGACACACACAGTTGCACAGTTGCAAAGATGCCCTCAATACTTCCACTGCCACTCTCAGATTTCCAATGGTCCAACGGTTTAGGCCTGTCTTGAGGCTTCTTAGAATGGAGATCTGGAGGCTCTGTCTTCCAACAGCTGCCAGCTGCACAGATCTATCCCTGTTGCAGGGGACTCTGTGAAAATTCACCCCAAGAAATCCAAACCGTGCAAGGAGTTCTCATGGAAACCTATGCTCCGACACATGCTCCACTGCTTCAAACGGTCTATTTTCAAACCTCCCTGTGTGAGCCACTTCCTGCTCACCCTCTCCAGTCTCGCCCGTTGAACAGCACCTTCTCTCCCCGCGCGCTGGCGCCCTCATCCGTGACCGTGAACAGAATCCGGTGCCGGCGCTCATAGAGCGGTAGCTCCGAGGTGTCCTGAGGGAGCGGCCGCTTTCGGACCATATGGCATTATGACCATCTGGGTGTCCTGGCTGGAGATCCCGAATAGTAGTGCAGGGTAGTCCCGCCAGGACACCCAAACAGGATGGTCCTGGAATGGATTTCATGTCCTTTTTCCTTGTATGAGAAGACAAGATCATGGATAGCCAGAATTGAATAGAATTGATGGTTTTACTTACTTTGGACGCAAACAACATTGCATAAAGGGAAAGGAAACATGGATGGATAAATGATGGATGCATATGAATAAATACATGAATTGATTTCATCTTGATTGGCTCCAGATTCTAAGCTCCCTCACATAGCGAACGATCCTAAGCAGCCAGATTCTGTCCTCAATGGCCATGCAAGTGTCGCCCTTGCTGCCTTTGGTCACCTGGACGACCCGACGACTGACGACTGGTCGGTGACTGGTGGTCGGTTCGGTGTCCGCTCAGACGACCTTCCATTGATCGCATATGTATATATATATACTGTATATATTACAGCCTCATAACAGGGTACCCGGGTACCCATTTCCTTGAGGAATTTCCAATGGGGATACAGGGATACACGTGTGTATATATATAATATATATATATAGTAAAAATTATTCACCTTTCGGATCCGTTTGGGAGGTCCATGATCGGACTCGTCGGTGCGTACACCACAGCCATGGTCATGAATACCACAGCCATCCACCCACAAGGTATCAAGAGTATGGTTGGCTAACCCACGAACATCAACTGCCTTTAAATGCCCATACTCACTCTCCAGTCCAAAGATCGCAAAAGGCCGGGAAACCATCTGCTAGCTGGAACTCAATCACAGCTCTGACCCATCTCAACATTTAAGACATCGTTGCCTTTTGATCCGCTCAGACATCTCAGTCTCAGACCCTATATAAATCACTGAAACCAGCCTCACTACATCTCACTACTAAATGTGGACGCCCCATCCCCTGAATTTCCGCAACCCTTCCCAACACCGAAAATGTCCTTTCCATCATGATATCGATTTCAAAGCAATTCCTGTGCCCATCGCGGAGGTCTTAAGAGGTCTCAAATGTTCGTTTTTCGAGTCGTTTCGCCCCACGCCGTTCGCGTTTTGGTTCGCGAACAAGGGGAGGGAAAATTTATCGTGTAACACGTTTAGACATGGCAGTTACCATTCGGAAACTGAACAGCTTAAATATGCTGAAATTGAGTGTTCTCTCTGGAACTCAGGACACTCATCACCACTCCAGTCTGCTTCATCCCTTGTCTCAAGAAATCTCAACCAAGAAGCAACACCAGGACAAATGCTGGCTTCGTAGTCGTATTTGATGTAGCCTATGTTGGTCACAAGCGAAACCATGAACACTACTGGGCTCACAGGATAAGAGAAGCATACATCAAAGAAGTGTCACACACTCACATACACTCAGTGCAGTGGCGGGCCCAGGTGAGCTGGGGCCGACCACGGAATCCTGCAATGGCCGCGTTGAGCTATGTTGAGCACACTCCCTCCCTCTGCATGGTATAGTATAGCCCACTTGCACTGGAAGCCTCTCTTCACTAAGCGTTTGGAGTGTTTTTCGAAACGTTGGCACCAAACGTCTCGGCACCAAGACAGGGGGTCGAACGTCGAAAGCAAAACACGATCTCTAGCAGGGTCCAACGCTCCCCCTCCTTCCTGTTTGATCTGTTGTGCGCACTAACATGCACAGATTTGGAACATTTACACAGCGTTGCATTTCATGCCCAGAAAGACTTGTTGCTGACCGTACCACACAAAAGGTACAATCCCAGTTCTCATACCTGATTTCCAGGCGAAATAGATTGACCAGTGGCTTTTCTTAGCTCAAAGATGCTTCTTTTGGAACCCTCACCGCAGAACTCGAAATTACAACGGCTTTGGCCGGGCCGCGGCGCTTGTACAGGACCTTCTCAGAGGGCTTCTCGAGGAACTCCCACCTGAGCCAAGTCTCGGGATGAGATACAGTAGGTCTGAGGCAAATCCTCCGGGGGTGAGCAAGTGACTTGCACTTCAAGCGCAAGTGACCAAGCTAATGCAAAGGTCTTCAAGAGCAAGCTCAGGAGATATGGATAAATGCTGAGAAAAGGCCAGCGCCCTCTTCGCTGTCTTTCTCCTTCTTTCCGCTCTGATCCACCCATATGTTGTCACCCAGCTCACTGAAGCTCTGTCTTCCGAGGCGCTTGGTGAGGCCGGGTGCCGTCTTCTGGGAAGAAGCCAGCACATACGCTGCACTGTCCACTGAGACGCTGCTCTTCTGGTCCGTCTTGGTCGTGAAGAATTTCACCAGGTCCTGGAGATCGGATCCAATACTGAGTGGGGATCTACGAACCTCTATCTATTTGGGGGTCTATATATAACCTGTACTATAACCTGTATATACATCGGTAAACAGTGCTTTTGTTGGAATCTTGACTTGATTCAAAACAAACAAACAAAAAAACAAACAAACAAACAAACACACAAACAAACACAATCAAACAATCAAACAAACAAACAAGCAAGCAAGCAAGCAAGCAAACACACAAACAAACAAACCAAAACAAAAAAACACAAAACACACCAACATGGATTGCAGAACCTCTTCATATGGGGGGGTTCATTAATCAAGAGTCTACATTCTATTATGTTCTATTCACAAATGCATACATATTCTTCCACACTGTGACATGTGCTCATCTAATTCTGCAACTTCTCGGCGCGCGGGGGGTCTCTCGACTGTGGGATAACATACAAGTTCTGCCCAGAATGGGGCCTACGTCCTACGTCTTGATCCAAGGTTCTACGATCTTAAACAAGTCATCAACCCAAACTTCTCCAACTTCTGGAGGTCACCCTGCAGCACTTGCTTCTTGAATGTTCATTGATTCTTGGCCCAAAGAACCAGCGACGTTTGGATCTGAGCTTGGCGCCTGGTTGAGCTTGGCGTTGGGATCTGCTGGATCTAAGGAGAGGGGAACCCGAAGCACCACCAGCTCGGCGCCTGGTCGAGACGGTCTGGTCTGTTTCGGCGGCGCGTGGGGTCGTCTCCCGGGTCCGTGGGGTGTCGGGCCTGCGGCGCAATCTTGGAACTCCTCGGTGGTGCGAATTCTTCGTGTTGCAACAATTGCAGTGACTTATATATATATATGTTATATTATGTTATAGTTGGTTTTAGATGTTATATATGTTATAGTATCCCCCTGTACATAACGGGGTGACCTTGGATACCCCATTCTATAGCTATAAAAGTGGGGACGCGGAGTTTGGTGTTACAAAATGCTAGGACCTGGAACAAAAAGGTATCTATAAAATGAAGATACCTCTAGTGATGATAGAAATGGGGAGTCTGTTTCAAGTCAAGCTGAAATTGCTCTAGAGAATGCCTGGCCCAACCCTCAACCTCTCAACAAAAAAATACAAAACACTGAAAAACATTTTGTAGTGCACTCGTCTTGGATCATGAAAAAAATAGGGTCAGCTGATCCAAAAGGATCTTTGCCGGATGCAGCCATTGTTCACCAAAAAGTGCGTCCACTACAAAATGACTATCGTTCAAAAAGGCACCTCTACAAAATGACAGCGTGCAACCTTGCTCTTTGCAACACACTTGAAATGGCTTCCACTACAAAATGGATTTGGTATGACTTGGATCCAAACAAGGCTCCACTATAAAATGTCCGCCCAAGCAAATGATGTCATCATGTTCATGCCAAAAAAATGTCACTACAAAATGATGGTGGCTTGTGACATTTGTTCAATGTCTCTGAGCGAAACACTTAAATCACGACAACATGCAAGCACACGAGGTCATCATGGGACACGATTTTTATATAAAAAAACAGATCTATATAGGGGCTCGAGCACTCCCATTCTGTAGTGGAAATGCACTGGGGGATGTTATAGTGGTTTTGATTGGCAATATAGAATAAGCTTGTTGAGCTGTTGGTCGTACTTCTAACTTGCTGAGTTTGGCTTCTGCACGGCGTCAGGGCAGAGGCGGAGTTGGTCATGGCCAGCCGGTGGTTGGCCGAGAGATGTGGTTGGGCTGCGCTTTCATGGCCTTTCAACTGTTGTCTTCAGGATGCGGCCAAAACGAGTTGGCGGAAATCGCCTCTTGCTGCCCTTGGCATCGCATTGCAGGGTGACAGAATGGTCCAACTCTTGGCGGTTGCCACCCTTGCAGCCTCATCTGCTTTCTGGTTTGAAGAGGTCTTTTTGGCCTGCGGCAGCAGCCTGGGTGACAAGTTTCAACCTGCCTCAACTCCAATAATCTGGTTCAGACTTCGGCATTTGAGGTCTACAGCTGCCTCATGCTGCCTCCACCCCACCTGGCCTTGGTTCGGATTGCCAGCCACCACCAGGGCCGTGGCCTTCTTGACGTCCGGCGGGGGGCTGAGCGTTTTGCTCGAATGTCCGCCAAGTCCTGTGGGCTGCAGATTTGATAGTGGATTAGCCCTCAACATGGCCAGGGTCATGAAACAGGTATGAGGTCAGGATCATCACAGCTCGTCATAGTTGGCGGATTTTGATAGGGATTCAGAATTCAGTGTATTAGAGCAGGTCAGGCGATCAGCAAAAGCGCAAGTCCAACTCGTCATCCTTATGCAATCTCTCCAAACGACCTGACCGACATACCGACCTTTTGTTGGGCCCACACAACCTCATACTTAGTCAGGCCCCACCATTTCCCTTCCCTCTTTTGTAGGACACATAAATCCAAATCACTTCTTACATCTTACCATCCCTCCATCTCTGCCCCTCCTGGGCAACTTGAGCTGCCACCCCTGCTCCGCGCGCACGGGCGAACTGCCCAAGCCCGGCAACAGGCCCAGGAGGCCCAAGCTGCGGCGGGGGAAGCCAAGGGGAGCGTCCGAGCCGCTATCGCTAGGCGCCGGTGCCTCGGTGCCGATGAGAGACGGTGATACAGTGAGCTGCTCGCCATGGTAATAGATGTTCATAAATGATCACACGTCTTCTATAAGGTTTATTATTCATTGGTTCTCCGAAAACCTGACGCCAATGGAAGCCATATATGGAGGGGCCTGGCTCCCAACTTCCGTTTCGTGTTCGCGGAACAAATCACATTCTGCGTCTGCCGAATAGCCTTCGGCGCCAAAAAGGCAGGAGCCCAAAACAGGGCCAGCAGCCCAACGGCACGTCGCACTCGCTTCGCCATGACGTTTGGCCAAGGACAAGGTCTTGAGCCAGGCAAAAGAACAGGTGCAAACAGGGTCCACCTGCTGATCCCGGACTATCGCGCTTGAGGATTTGTTCTTTATAGTGTGTGTTCCTCTTCCTCCGAGATTTAGGGCTGGTGCTTTTGTGGGTTCTGTTAAGTTGAGAAGTCACTTGGGTTGAAGGGGCAGCCCATTCCTTGGTATCTCTGATCTCTGGACTTCTGTTCAACACTGCCTCCATCCAACCACCACTCTGACCACTCAGACCTCCCCACCCCACATCACCTCCGATCCCTTCGGAGCTTCGCACTGACCGACAGGTCCGGATGATTTTCACTCCAGCATCGAGGCTTGGCCTCCGCCCGGCAGCGCACCGAAGCGGCCCAGGAGCCGCGCATGCGCGTCCCGGGCGGCGCCACGCACCTTCGGACAATGGCGCACGTCAGACGGAGGCGTGATGCTCGGGGGAGGAAGGGGGTTTGGGTGGAGTTTGGGTGTTTTGTTTTTTGCGGTTTCACAAGAGGGAACAGGTGAAAGGTCTGAAAAGGAATCAAAAAGGGTCTGATGAACCGCAAGAACAGCTTCTTCTTGCGAACACATTTGGTACAGGAACTTCGGGGTTCACGGACGTTGGAATCGTCACCATTGAGCTGATGTTGGCACCAGTTTTACTTCGTAGTGTCCCAACAGCGATGTTATCCCCCTTGTAGCGAGTCACTGTCGGCAACTGGGTGATTCCTCCCAGAGCAAATCCTGTTTCATGGCCTTTCGTGTGGTGGTTTTTTTCCCTCAATTCCTCGTCTCTTCAGGATTTGGCACGTGGAGTATCACAGGCTGCGCCCCACGAAAATCATTATAACTAAAACCCACTGAACAAGCTTTTCCAAACCTCAAGATATATCTGATCCAGTCAATGTGGCTGAAGGTTTTCCATCCATTTCTACACGACTATAATATAGTCGAAAGTCTCACCTAAAGCCTTAAAGCATTCCCTGTCCAGCTTGCTGCCTTCAAACAACCAAGAATATGTTTCTTCCACCAGCCCCTTCACCATTGTTTTTGTAATGTTTTGTAGTTTATCTTTGCCGTTTAAGTTGCATATGTTCTTTGTAATACTTAGATAAACAAACACGCCTAGGGAACATATGGGAAAAGTATGGAACAGTGTATCTCGATTGGTTGCTTTGTGTGGGACAATTGGCTGGGCTGGGTTGGGTCAGTTTGGGTGTGCCTGTTCCCCACCGCCGGGTGACGTTCCGGTCCGTCGCATCCTTCTCGGCACGCTGCAGGAACTCGAGGGCCTCCGGGTCTCCTGAACGACCAAGGGGATCCATCGAATTCCACCCTATTAAACTGTATCGGCTGTCTCTCTTCTTGAATTAAACATAACAAATTCAAATGAAGGCTAAATGGAGGGTGTGGAGAAAGGGGGTCAGCAAAAATCGCTTGTACGAAGTTAGTGCATCAAAAATACCTTGCACGAAGTTCTGCGAAGGTTTCTGGGATTTCGTTGCAGTCAGTTCTTCTGCTGGCCCACCATTCCACGAACTGTCCACGAATAGCCTTGGGTTCTACGAATGTCCCGCGCCTTCCACGATGTTAGTAGAATAGGTTTTTGCAAACCCTTTCTGTGCACTACCCTTCCGTTTGCCTCTGATCAAAGGACCCTCCTGTTTTAAACACACACCTTTTTGTAAGGAAGAATTGACTTTGGGAGGGCCAGTATGCACTCAATTAGAGCAATTACAATTCTTACTAACAGTATAGTATGGTACGACGATTTGCACAGCAATCTCAACGGCTCCTTGATAAACATCCTTAATTCCTTTGCATCTCGACTCTACGTCACCCAAAAAACTTCAGCCAACTTCACATCCCAACATCCAACCTCCACAACCAGTAAAAAAGTCCGAAAAACACCAGGTTTGTCTCAAATCAACAGAACCCTCCAATAGACACAGAACAAACCATAAGAAGAATACCATCACCTGGTCACCCTAGACTTGAAAACAAGCTGATTCCCACCAACCAAAACAACGCCGCGCCGCCGCGCCACACATCACAAAACCATACTGTCCCTGCACCCTACTCCTACTCCTAACCCGCCCTGTCCCGATCCGCGCTCGAACCGCGCCCCACTCCTGGCTCGGCCATCCGCCCCACGGCACGCAGCGCGCCCACGCGCAGCAGCTCGTCCGCATCGCCGGACAGGTCCGCTGCATCGCGCCAGTGCTGCGAACCCACCGGGCACACACGAGCCAAGGTGTGGAGACCTCCCAAGGTGTGGAGAAAAAGGAAGAACAAATGGTTTAAAGACTGGTATAGAGATCTGACTCGATGTTGTATGATGTTGTAGTTTTTCAACAATATATTGTAACTGTTGTATGATGGTTTAAGTGTATATAACTGTGAACCAGCTTAAATATGTTGAAAGACTTCGTCCCTTAAGGGATGCCTATCAAAGAAGAACCAAGGGATGCTATCAGTCCAACGGAGCAAAACTCCACTTGTTCGAGTGAATGCAGCCTCATTAAAGGAAGAGGGGTCAGAGGTACACATGTGTTCTGTGTCGTGCGTGGTACCTGTGTTGTTGATATTTGTTCACTTGTTTTGTCCTCTGAGTCCTAAAAGCATGCAACAAGGAGGTCAGAATATCGGTTCATCCGTGATGGAAGTAGCTGGGCTTGGAGTGTTGAGAGTGATGCGTGTATACTAAGTTGCCGAAGTCAGAACACACAAAGAAGAATGTGGGAGTTGACATGAGGTGAGAATTCTTAATTGGATACTATACAATATTATACAGAAGAGAAAACACATCGGCACTTATTATTTTTGTCCCAAAGATCCATTTCTTGATGCTTTCAGTCCGTGACGGGAGCCCAAGAGCTTTTATGCCGCTCTTGTAGCTACAGGAAAGGACTTGTGAGGGGATGCTCTCAAAACGCTTGGATTGAGATTACCAACATTTGATTTCCACATCAAACACATCTTAAACCTGTTCAATAGCGTCTAGAGTAAAAGATTCCGTAATGGTTGATTCGTCTTGTCGAACATGTCGTTCCTGATAGATTCAGCATCTGATCGTCACACAGTGCGATGACTTTTCAGGCTCTGTTGATGCCCGTGTTTCGATGCCCGGACAGGTAAGACAATTAGCAGGTGATCCTCAAGACAATGAATGGGTGTCCATACATCCCACTCGCAACTGTCTACATCATCCTGGAGATTACTTACTACTTCCTGGGCTCCTGGAGACTCTCAACATCAAGCTAAAAACCGGTGAGACAATTGCCGCCTGCAAGCCGCACCAAGGGGTGTGGATCCTTCATGACATCCAAAGCTTCGGAAATGGCTTCAGCTCGATGGCTGGGGTCCTGTCGGGGTTGGTGTCTGCATGGCCCGCGGGGGTCCCGCGGGTTCGCGAAATGGGAAGGGGAGCAGGTTTGGGTGGTGCCCAGGCTCTAGGCCACATCAACAGTGGACTCTTTGTGAGGTTTCCTAGCATCGTTGCGGAGTTGGAACAATTTGTCAGTAATTGGCTCATAGCCCTATAGATAGTTTGGGTGGTCATAGTTTTTTAGCCTTGGCTCTAGCCTTGGCAGCCATCTTGGGATGGTGTTTTGCTGGCGTTGCGCATCCACCACCTGAAACCAGTCCATTTTGAGAACACTGCGACGACGAAGTCCTACGACTTCAAAGGACTTCCAAACCATGTCATCGAACCCAAGGTCTCCCCCCCTTTTCTGAAAGCTCTTTCCAAGGGATTTCTGGGTCCATTACGCTCCTTTCGCCATCTTTTGCCCGGGTGCCCGGCGGTGCGATCTCTTCCTTCGATGCCCCGCGAACCTGCGTCGCGCCGTCGTGTCTCCGAACCTGCCCCGGGGCCGTCGCTCCTTCTCGGCCTGGGCGCCCAAGCGCCGCAGCGCATCCCGCCGTTGCTCGGCCGCGTCGGGGTGCGAAGCCTGGAACCTCGGCGCGGCTCCGTGGCGTCGCTGCGGGGACCCGTGCAGCACAAGTGACCTGTTTGGTCTCTGATCGTCTCTGGCTTGATGTCCTGAAGTATACACCCGCCTCGCCTCACCGTATTTCATGCTTCAGGATGACCCGAAAGTATCGAAGTGGAAATCCCAAGCAAATATGGAGCACCGGTGCATGAAGCCATGTATAAATCAATATAGTGAAGCCACTAGTGAAGCCTGCAGCCAAGCTTGCGAAGCCGGAATCCAGCGCACCAGCGACCAGCCCTCGACCAGGCATTCTAGACCAGGTGCTTGCAGCAAGTGCTTTGAGCTATGCAATTCTGCGCATCAATTGGTAGAGGCAAATCTGCTGGGAATGTCACTTAGGTTTACATCTTGGTCTAAAAGGTAGGGGTCTTGCGCAGCTTGCATGGGTGGCAGCCTCGTACCGGTGCTTCTTGGCCGAACAGGCTTCTCACATTTTGCCAGGTAGTCACAGTCGAAGATACGTCGAGTAGGATCACTGGATGCCCTTCACTATACGCACTATATGAAGAATTACTATGGGTTCAATACTTGCAGGATCAATACCATGATAGCCTCAACCCACTACCCGTAGGCTGTTTCTACTACCTCAACTTCAACCCACTACCACTGTATTAACCAGGATACTAGTGGACAACAATACGGTGGCTACCCTCACCAGTTCTATTCCTTGCCGAGCGGCTCTTGCAAGCCTTCAGTACCCGACTTGGAGATCACGCGAGAGAGCTGTGAGAGCACCGGCTCGCTACTGAAGCCTGAAAGAGAAACACTTGAGCAACAGCAGAACTTAGGGATTCCTTAAGACCCTTGGCCCTTCAACATGAACAAGAATCTACACACTTCAACATGCACAAAATATTTAAGGATCTTTAAATGGTGCTTAGCAGTCGTGTCTTTTTGCATGACCTTTTTGTACTGTAGGTGAGACTTCACCCTGGCTTCGCTACCCCTGCTCCGGTCAATCGTCCATGAACTTCTAAAACCTTCTCCATCCAGCAAGCAAGCTGGAGAGAGAGAGAGAGAGAGCCTCTTCTGCCCTCAGTAGTTCCAATAAGTTTATATCATTCATTCTGCCTCGTCACGCGTCAGCAAAGCTGATTGAACATAGAGGAGGATTGGACAAGAATCTGGTGGCTTGTGTGCAGGAGGTGGTTCATACCCAACCCAAACCGTTGTCAAACCATCGGTAGGCCCAACAGCCTCGGCAATGCTTCCGCGCACCATAACGAAAGACATCAGTGAGGTGCTTCCCCAATGACATGGCTTTCCAAGCACTTCTGAAAGTGAGAGTGCCACTTTCAACATGGGACCGTATGCATACCACCGTCATGCTATCTTATGCTCATGATACTATGTTACTGCATATGTTGGCCAAGACTTCTGCTCGTCACACAAACTCTCCAGACGAGGAGATGGCTTGGAGGGGTGAGACCGTATACCCAGACCGTGGGACGAGCACAGCACTGTCTCACCAGCACTGGGGCGGCGACAGGAGGTGACATGTTTTAAGGTCAACTGTGGGTGGCGACATCTTCTTCCGAGAAGTCGCCAAAAAGGCAACAGTTTCTCTTTCAACTTTGAGTGACAATACCCTTCACCCAATCATACAAAGTCGTTGAACTTTGTCAGTTTGTGGGCGATGAGATTCAAGTGGACTCAAAATAACATGACAAGTCCTCTTTGTAGTTTCTTGATCTTTCAAATGCAAGGTCAACTCTTCTGTTTTATATAGCCTGCCTATGCCTGCCTGCAGTTGGGATCACTCAAAAATGTATGGGTCTGTTGCGTTGTGCAACTGCTTTGCTTTTGGTGTCGCGAAGCGCGTGCCTCAGCATGCACAGTCCTCATCGTCCTCATCTTCCAAGCCCTCCTTAAAGGCCTCTGTTCTTTGGGGGAGTGCAACTCCAACGGCACTAAGTCCTAAGTGCCTAGGGCCTTGAGCCAAGGATGCGTCGATGCGTGCAAACACTAGTTCTCGACGTGCAGTGCATTACCGATGCACCTGATGAAGCTCTTCACTTCAACAAACAACTACAGTATACATCTTTCTCCACAACTTCTCTTCATGCATGTTCAGGCTGAATTCCTCTTCCAGCTGGAAGAAATTCGTCCAGAGCTGCGTGCGCCACACCTTCGAAAACGTGCAATGCCATCTAGCTTGCCTAAATAGCGCCCAAATAGCCACATTAAAACAACGAAAACATATCTGACAAAAGAACATTGTCAGGGCTGGCAAGTCCGGTTCGCAGTTTCGCATTCTCTAGACAGTACAAGTGCTGGGTGGCAGAGTAATTAATTTAATGCAACTCGAATTAACTAAAAAATACAGCTGGGTGGCTCAAGAACTGGCGTGCTTCACCAATGGCTGGAGTGCGACCAATAGCTTTGGTCTATCGTCTGCTTGCGAATGTGGTTCAAAACAGGTAGATTCCGAACCCATTCGAAAGAATAAAGCCTAAGTTTTGTCGAGAGAGAATATTGGAGCCACACTCATTGAACCTATCAACCTTACTCGGGGTTGCCAGGCACTCGGCACTCCCCGGTTTGAAGCATTCGCACATCATCACGAAGCTCACAGCTTGTCGAAACCAACTGGAGGCTGTACCTTATGATAAGATTTAACAAAAGGACCGTGTGACCACGGTCCAAACAGCAGCCGAAAACTTGCCAATGTCAAGGGAACAAACTGGTCAGGAATTCTTTCAAAAGACCCCACCATACCCCACCAATTCATGTCTTTTTGGGCCAAGTAGAACATGGCTTCTGCTGGGGCTGTTCTGATCTTCTGAGAAAGTCAAGAAACATCTCAGGAAGGCACTCGCATGAAGCCGGCGTTCACCTCTGGCACTCTCTTGCAGTCGACGACTGGATGGAATGGACAATACTGGGTCTAATGGGCTAGCAGGATACCAAAAGCCGCACATTGGAGCAACAGTGTTGCCGGTGGTCTTACATTCCAACACCAAGGCCCAGTAAGTCTGCCCCATATGTCCCGGCCATGTAATTACGCAGTCGCTAGCTTTGTGCTTTGTATTTGAAAGTGCAATTAATAATTTATTGGACTTACAAGCACAGTTTCCACCCACGATAGATGAATAATTCAAAGACTGGAAGAGAAATCCTACAAACGTGAATGTCTTGCAGTTCCACTTCTCCCCAAAATGGGATGATTCCTCCTTTCCCAGCATGACTTTAGAGCGCCTTTACTGAAAAGAAAAACAACGCCTGTTTTAGGTCTCGCCTTCCCGGGGTCTCATCAGGTCACCCGACCGTCCCGAACACCGACCCCTCGCCTTCAGAGATTTGGGGAAGGTCGCAATGGCCAAATCCGCCTCGCGGCGCGGCATCGGCGCGCACTCAGCCGGCACCAAGGACCGAAGAAGGCCGCTTTGCTAGCGTAACGTGCCGGTGCTACATGTAAAGGGAATAATTAAACACAGTCAGATTATGGGACAAGGACCTTCTAGTACATCATGGGCTAGCATATGTTAGCATCATATTTGGATCCTGTTGGAGCTTCGGTTCATCTTCTGAAACGTTGAGTCAATGCCGAACAGGCCACAGGTCGGGGCGGCCTCAGCAATGAACTGGTCCATGATCATGGCCTGAACGTGGCACGAACGGGGTCAGGAACGGGTTTGAAATGGTCCTGCAATTGCAAAGAGGAGTGATTCTCAAGACCAAGTGCACAGCTCAAAAGCTTGTGATATCATGGTACAGTAGCATTCCCACCTGTGTATGAGATGGGTGTGAGTCTGACTTCACTTCCCAGCTCAGGTTTTCACTCCGACCAAACCTCTAGTTTTGATTGAACAGAATTCCCAAGTTGTAGGACATTCAAATAGGGCATACCCCTGATACTTGTTGCCCTCCATATGAAAGCCAGCCAGGTCAGGGAATCGGGTTTGGTCATCCATATTATGCCGCCTCTGCACCGCATGGCAACAGTTACTGCCACACACCCTGTTTTCAACCGCATGGCAACAGTTACTGCCACACCCCCTGTTTTCAACCAGGTGCCTTGAATAGTAATAATATATCCCATGTAAAACTGAGCAGTCACCCGACCAAAACCTAAAACTGGTTTGTCTTCCCTCTCCTAGTTCGACAACCTTTAATCCCCCAAGATATGCAAGCACCTCATGTGAGGATTGCCTTGCTATCTTTGGGAAGGAACCACCAACCCCACCCAAAAGGTCATATGAACATCATGAATCATGCACCTCTAGTTCAGAACACCCATCATGGGTCCCAACATTCACCTTCTTTTTTGTTTTCTCAGAAACCGCACCGTTTGGCCGTTGGCTGCGCGTCCGCCCGCCGGCACCTGTGTGGGCTCGTCGGGATCCATTGAGTCCAACATGCGGAACATGTAGCGCCGGAACCTCCGCCGCTTCGCTGCCGGTCGTTATGCGCTCGCGATCCTCGTGGAATCGAGTCGTGGAATTGTCATATCTATATAGTGCTTGTTTCAGATCGGTTTTCACTTTTTTCCCCACCCTCTTTTTAACCCACCTTCTCAGAGGTGATCTCATGGCTCAAAGGCAATCCATAGAAACCCATGTGTTGAAAGAGACCCCTCAACTTCTCTGTGATGCAAACTGACCTTGGCAGAATTAGCGCGTCACGCTGTGTCCATCTTCATCTCTCACAATGACGGGACCGACGAATTCGCAACGCTTTCAACATGTGCATGAAGTCTCCAAGTCCCCGTAGCCTCCAAACAAAACCAAACAAACATCTCCATGTGCAAGCTAAACCATGCTGTAGCCTACCAGTATTGTTTGTTTTGCCATTTCCAGCAAAGATTTGGCCATCTAATTGCATAAGAACTATAACCTCTTCAAAATTCAACGGACCAACTTCATTCAGTTCCACCATTCCCGTGTTTGTGTCACGCACGTGACCCAAACACGGTGCTATAAGGTCGACCTCACTTCCATCCGCCTCGAGAAGGTGATGGGTCGGCCCTCCGGATCCAATTCGCTGCGGAAGATCTGCGAGAACCTGGAGCGGGTGGAGAGCTGCGGGTGGAGGCGGGTGAGCCACATCTGGAGCGGTTCGGAGTTGAGGCGAGAAGAACAGAAAACGCGAAGACGTGAGGCAACTGTTTGTTCTCCCTGCTGTGGTAGATGATGGCAAATGGTAGGTAGGTGGAGAATGTTTCAGGGAAATGTTGGCGCTCTCTTTCTGGTGTGAACTGCAGGTGCCCAGGGTGTTACCACAAATCTTAGGCCGTTCCTCCTGTTCTGTGCACGTTCGTCCTTTCATCCACCGCCTGCGCTGCGCTGCTGCCACGTCCGCGCCATGGAGGATGGCGATCTTTTCGTTGAGCTTGAGGAGCTCCGCCTGCGCGGTGAAACATGGCTCGCCTGCCGCTCGGGTGAAACCGGTTCGGCGAGTCGAGCTGGAAGAGGCACGGGGACCCAGCGAGAGGCTGGAACTGTTCTGAAGGCTCCTAAGGATCGATCATATCCCAAGGATCGAGGCTGTGTGTAAGTGTCAGTCTTACATCTCTTACAGGACGCTGATGAAAAGGTCTGGGGCTGCCTATGTTGCTATGCGTGAAACCTCAACTTTCCTGGAAAAAGACTACCCATTCTAATGAGAAGTCTGCAGCACAAACATGTTTCATGAATAGAATAGACTCAATGGAAGCATAAAGTCAGGCACACCGTTTTTGCACCCTTGGCGCATCATGGGCAGATCTTTGTACAAAAGAAGAGCCATGTGTGACTGGCTCCTCAAATTACCTGGCCGCACCCAGTCAAGCAAACACGGAGAGACGGAAAGACCGAGAGGTTCACCAGCACTTGGGAAAGACCGAGCCACGATTAGTTTTTGTTGGGGGGAACATGACGGGTCGTTGTGTGTTGGCACGTGCCAAATTTGGCTCTTGAACGAAATGTTTGGCATATAGATCTAGATGGTCCATCTGCAACAAACAAGGAAACGCGTGACTGAACTTTGGCCCACATACCAAGCTTGGATGGAAACATGATGAACAATGATGAACCACGGCACCCACTAACTTGTTCAAGGTACAAAGGAAGCTTATTGACGATACCGAGACATCTACTACCGACTACTGACTAATCCTCTCACAGTTTCTCCAGTTGCTACTGACTGCATCTAAAGTCATGTATATAAATATATATACATCAAGCAAGCATCCACCTTCTGATCAACCACTTCGTGTTTTCTTCATCACCCAAAGATCTTCTAGATCCAATCACTCAACCAAGACATGGCGAATCCACTTCACCCAACTCTTCTTGAATCTCCTGGTGGTCGAGCTTGGTTAGGCTGGGAGAGCAAAGGGAGTAGATCGTGGTCCGTCTCTCCGGTTTGGAGACCAGAAGACGGCCTCTACGTATAGGGTTTACAGTTTACGTTAGTTTGCTTCCAGTGGACAATTAACGTCAACTTTCTGGCCCAGGCATTTTCTGCCCAGGCATTTTTTTTGGGTGGAGAAGATATGAGAAAACTATAGAACACCCTGGAAAGCCTTGCAATCACACCAGTGAATACAAAGGTCCCGACACCGTACCGTTGGACCTTGGCTTTCTCTGCCCTCATTCCAAACTTCAGCAATCTATTGAGCGGTTTGTAAATGCTTCTTCTTCTTCTGGTGACTCTAGTGGACAGGGGATGCACTATGCCGTGTTCACCTTAATGGCCCAAAGCGCATATCATGGAACTGCCGGAAAGAGTGTCCTTCTCTTCCACCTCCAAGTTCTCTTCTTTCACCTGTCAAGTGCCAATGGATAGTGGACAGGTGCTGGGACATGGAATCGCTATGCATGTCGCAGTTGCCTAACACATCAGGACCCCTTTCTCCGCACCAGCAGGTATGAGCAATTGAACGAGATTCCAACACGGGATTCCAGCACAGCGATTCGGGATGATCAATTTGGATCAATTTGGTGTTTTTATTCTCCTTTGATCTCCTTTGACTTTAGTATCGTCCGCACCAACCACTTCTCTCGTCTGCGCCTCTGGCAGCTGCAGAACGGGCAGTGAGATCCTGGGAGCTGCAGTGGTCGCCTGGCAGTGTTTCAACTCGGACAAAATAGGCCCTGTGGCCACCGACGCCATGGTCGTCTACAAGTCGTGCCGCAGCCATCCGCAGCCGCCGCATGTCGTCTACGGGGACACCCGGAGCCGAACATCGCATCGGATTCGTTCGGTGATCGTGGAGATGGGGAGACCCCATGCAGACCATCAAAGGGTATGGCGGGTATGGCTTCACAAATTTGGCTTCACCGATGGATTCCCGCAATTTTGCCGGTTTTTGATCTTTCTTGGTGAGTTGCTTCATGTTGATCCACACCCAGCCGCACAGCTTCCACACTCCACACAAAAGGACCCCAGTCACGCAGCTGCCTTCACCTCCACCTTCTGAGCCATCAAGACCTGCATGTTTTGAGGCTACGCATGTTTATGGGCCAAAAAGAGTCGACTTAGCCAGCTAGAAATTCCAGCAATTATATACCAGTAACAGTGGATGATGATGATGATGATGATTATTATTATTATTATATCCCTGAGGATCGAAAGTTAGCTCTATATGCTAACATTTGGGGTTGTGCCTTCTGGGGCTCTCCGACCTCACCCTGTGAGGTCCGACCTCAAAAAAACGAGATCATACCAGAACCCCAAAACCACAAAACCACAGAACCCCAAAACCACAAAACCAACGATCTCAAATTCAAATTCGTCACGGGTTGTCACGCTGGAGTCCGACAATGACCTCATCTTTTAAGGGACAAAATAGACCAATCACGGTCTGTCACGGTTCGTCACGCCCTGGTATGCTTGGCTCTTGGGATTTCATGGTCTTATCCTCCGACAATGATACTGGAATTGTATATGCATTTCAGGTACCCCAATCTGTGATTCGACAACGTCTTCAAATAACACGATCAATAGAAACGTATGCATATCCTGAGATCATTTCTATTTGTGACCTATGTGTGGTCATGGATCGTCAGGGTATATTATTATTATTATTGTTATTATTATTATGATGATGATGATGATGGCTAAAGGCCTTTACTGACTGTTACTTACTGGTAATGGGCTACACCCTATCGACTTAGCCATCTATACCTCAAAACAACTTCGCTGGCAATGGGGAGAACTGGCAGGTCACCTGACCTGTAAAAAGTCCTCGATTTTTGGCAACTTTCCGCCATCATAGGGATTGCTTGAGCTCGTGCACTCTCTTGAATCATGGCTAATGATGGGGTTTGTCACTGTCTAGAGCAAACAATTTGCAAAGCTTTTCCTCTGTCCAACCTCCCACCTTCCTGCGACCGGGCGCCTGTCCCCGGTGCGGCTCCGCTTCGGGGCGCCAGCGCGGCACCCGCCAGCGTTGCACGGCACCGTTGAGGGCGCTCAAGCGCTCTTTGAAGCGGGCACCGGTGAGGCCTGAAGGGCACAGTGAGGGATTGGAACATGTGGCATGAAGGATTTGATGAGATTTGATACGGAGAGAACTTGTTGTGATGGTATGGTTTGTTGCTGCTTTTGATTCTTAAGGCTTTGATTGGTGTGTCAATGCTGCAGTATGATGCAAAAAAAAGACAAAGAGAGAATCAATGTATACTGATTAATTACGTTCACCATGTCCATCTCCCTAAATGTGCCTCCTGAACTTCAGGAACGAACATTTGACTGGCACCATAGAGGTTCTCAAAGAGGACGCAGCGTGGCTTGAATCTACCTCCCCAGTGAGAAGAAATTTTTAGAAGAAACCTCTCTTTGTCATGCCAGGTGACAGCACTAGTGTGAGCCCACATCACACCTCTATATAAATGTCCCAACATATTATTTCCACAAAAGAACAGCCCAAGATGAGAATTCAACGGAACATGCCCAACAAAAACCTGGTGCAATCCTACCCACAGGCTCCCTCCTCTCTTCCCCGGCGAAGAAACTCTCCTCGGTCCCTCAGCCTAATCGCTTCAGCTGCTCCTCGGAACGCTTGCGCTTGATGCCCGGGGAGACCAACGAGGTCTCTTGGATCAAGTTGCCCCAGCACCTCGGCGCCCGTTTTTCTCTTTTGTTTTGTGCGTTTTCTTTTTTTTGAGGGTCCGAACGGACTGGGAGGAGAAATGAAACTTGAACAAGTACAATATTAGTAATTATATGTTGTTCTTAATTAATATACATTATCATATAATCAATGTAACTTATGATATCAAATAATGTCAAAGAAGTTATGTATAGAGATACCAAAAAAAATCCCAAAAAGGACATCTTATGAAATCTCAACATCAACACCTTGCAGGGAAGCAAACTCCCTTTCAAACCCAGCTATGCCAAACAACAAACCCAATCCTTTGGTGAAGCTACAAACTGACCTAAACATACCTGAGCTATTGGCCAAACCCAAATATACCTCTGCAATGAGCTTCAAAAGTGGCCAGTTCACTGGCCAAACATCCAACATGCCCTGCATGCCCATCTTCCTCCGCGCCAAGGCTCTGCCCGGCATCCGGCTCCAGCACAGTGACGCTGCCGCGGAGCCGATTCACTTCTCCCACCGTCTTGGCATGCGAGACCTGCCCCAGCGCGCGCAAGTTCCGCGCGCGCGGTACGGCGCGCGGGACGGAAGAACGATCAACACTGAGAAAAGCACGGATCAAAAGGAGATGTGTCACATGTTTTTTTGATTCTTTTTCGGTATGGTGTGAACTGTTCCAACATATGGTACGTGCCAAGTGATCTTGTCTAGAGTACAGATAGAAATTTATTCTTCAACTGCCCTCTGCCATGTTGCTTCCACGCAGATTCTTGCAAATGTTGGTTTACCTTCTTTGTACCCTGCTTTTCGGCATCACTGTGTTCTCTTGATTGCCTACGTATCAAATTCTATGCAAAGTAACAGTGAGTTTGAACTGCTCATAAAGGGTACCCATCATAAGCCCTTGGCCCTCCTTCATCCTGCCCGAGAAAAAACTCTGGGCTGGGCAACATATTTACCTGAACTGACTGAAGATCTGGGTCAAAACAGTCAACAAACTGACTCATCAACACCTGGGGAGGCAAACCACACAAAAAACGCACAGTCGAAACGTTCCTCCTCCACCCATGGGACGACTGCCTCAAAGAGCTTTAAGGCCTGGCGAACCCCATGGCGGACAAAGCCATGCGCATCATTTACGAGGTGTTGAAAGACGGGGGGTCGAAAACCATCACAAGAATGGGAGCAAGACCGCAGGACTACCCAAGTGTCTGACCCTAGGAGGAAGCTTCATGTGAATTTGATTCAGGAACACCTCACCAAGAGCAAGCTGATGTTCAGCCGGGTCCTTTTTCTCGATCCATTGAAATCCGTCGAA